TTTACTGCAGCTTTTTATCAGAGTTCCTCTTTCAGCCTCTCAAAGGTTATAAAGACTCAGTTTACAACTAAAGCCAAAGAGAATTTCCCCACTGAACCAAAGTGCATGACTTTTACTTCAACCATAATCAGATCCAGTCTCCAGTGGACCAACATACCAAGTAGAGAGCACCCGAGCCAAGATACAAGACCTGTATGTAGCCTGCTAGAAAAAAACGTGTGATTTCACATCCATAATGCTGAAGAACTTGCTTACACAACCAACTTTCTGTTGCTTGACATATCAGTAACTGAGCAAATCACTCTCTTCTCTGCCTTGATTTCCCCAAATACAACATGAGTGACAACAGCGATCACACCAGGAAAGTGCTTTCTGAGCTACAGATGAAAAGTAGCATAGGAGCACAGTGTGGTGTTTGCTAGGGGTACACCATGCCATTTTAGAGAAGGAAATCGCAATGTGGAAGACAGATATCACATCACAGAGAGAGCCCATACTGCAATCACTGACATTTATTGTTACAGGGAATTCAATATGGGAAGTGAGTATAACAGCTGTACCACTTCTTGAAAGCCTGGCGAGAATGAGTTTGAGAACTAACACTAGCCGCCCTCCCCCACCACCCCCCCCGAGCTCTTTCTAGGCACACAGGTTACTTCAGGAATAAGTTCTTAGTGAAAGAAAACAAAACAATGACCACATGATGCGCTAGTGTATGTTTTAGAAAGGAAGAATGCCATTGGTCTTCAGATCCTTTTGCTCTAAAACCAGAATTATGACTTAATGACACTTTTTTTTCTTCTTCTTGAATATGGGAATATACTGGCTCCTGAGTGATGGTGGTTTTTTGCCTCACGCAGGCTGTGCAGAAGGCCTGACGGACTGAACAGTTCTCCCAACCAGGAAACAGCACAATGCAGCCTTCATACGTGGTTTACGGTCAAGAATCACAGAGAAAGGCTTCAGTCTTTCATAATACCATGTCACATATGTAACCCAGGATGTATGAGGTAACACAACCATCACACTGAGTGTATGTGGGAGACTAACATTTATTCCTTGGGCTTAACCCTTGGCTGTCAAGCTGGAGCAGTGCACCAGGAGAAACAGAAATTTGTGCCTTCTGAAGAACACCTGTGGGTGCACCAGTTTACCACTCACTTTGCTAGTGCTTGCTGTAACATGCCTATGAATGTGAGCTTAATCATACCCTCTGGCCATACCTAAATTGGGCTAACATGCTATTAAAGAAAAATATTTGCCAACCTATTTTAACAGATGTAACTCAAACACAGGTTTAGACAATTCCAAAGAAGTTGAGCAAAAACAAGTTTTATAAAACCTTACAGTCAGTCTGTAAAAAAGCAACCACTACATAAAGCAGTCTAGTCTTAACTTTAGGTAGGTCTGCACAGCCCTGGACGCTGCTAAATCCCACAGGTGACATCTCGGTGCTTAGCCTGAGTCTTGACACGGAACTCCAGGAGTGCTGGGGACACTGACCAACATCCCCTCAAATCCAACGCTCACAGCCCACGCGCCACAACTTGAAGGTGACCTGATTTCCCAGGTTTACATGTGCAAGTAACCCAGGAAAAAGCACAGTGCTCCCCTAAATGCTCCGTCTGGGAAATGTGCGAGTTTTGGGGAACAAAAATAATGATTCTGCCCCATACATCATGTTTGGCACCAGGGGAGGTGCGGGAAGGCACCCGGAGAGACAGGGGAAACAACGTCCCTGCTGCTGCAAGGAGGCACTGAAGGGTGAATAAACGTTTTTAAATGCGACTGTCACTTACTTATCCAGGACGAAGTAGAGATCAAAGGCACCGTGACAGGAGCGCTGCTCTTCTTGCTCTTCCTCCTCCTCCGGCCGGGCGCAGGAGGTTAGGCTCCCCATTGCCAGCAAGAAGCAGCACAAAAACGCTGCTTTCTCCACGCTGCTCCTGCAACTCGCCATCTTTTCCCTTCCTTAATTCTTCCTCCTCCCCCAGTCTCTCTCGCTGCAGACCTTACGGGCTCTTCGGAAGCACCAAGGGAAGGGGGG